AGTCATTTCTTCCATACGAAGTATGTTAACACGATTCTTTTTATATGGAGAAAATGACCAACAGCTTCAACAAAAAAAAAATTACCAATATCAACGGTAAGTCTTGCTTTGCAAACTTGCACTTCATTGTACTAAAATTGAATGGGCTACAAAACTGCATACTTAAAACCATTCTAAGTAAACCAATAAAAGAGCTCGATATTTTTACGAAAAATTGTTAATTTTTTCTTAATATAGCTCAAAGTCTCAAGTTTGGATTTATATGATTTTTCTTAAAGAATAAACTATATTTTTATAAAAAGTAATTGAAATAAAATAATTTAAAAAAATGTATAGGCAAAACTTGTCAATATGTGAGTTGTTTATAATCGTGAAACATACATATACAGAATGTAAATTCAAATTTTTTTAATATACATACTTTTAACCAATGCTTGAATGTAGGAACATTATCCTGTTTATTGCGCTGTCATTACAACTAATACTGCAACGTTTCTCAGTGATAATATTTCGGGCGACGGAAAATGCTCTTTCAAAAGGAGCTGAGGATGCCGGAGTTGCTAAAATTCGACAGCTCAGTTTATATAAAATTGGGAAATCATTTTTATGACCGTCCCACCAGTGCACAATATCGAAATCGTCATAAAATTCAACATCAGTGCTTTCGTACTTATGAATTTCTCTATAGATTTTATTTTCAATACTAAGCGTTTGTCTTGGTTGAACAAAATCTCTGAACAATAAACTATTTTCGGTAGAACATGACGGCGTGGAATCTGACTCAGTATGTAATGCATCTACAGTGAATTCTGCCATGAGCCGCTTACATTCATTTTTAGTACAAGTTTTGTCGATTTCGGAAAATAGTACATTTTCGCTGTTACTATTCATTGAGTATCTTATAACGCACTTGTGCTTCAATAAGTTTGAGGTTGATTTTTTGCAGTGCTTTAAACATTGAAACACGTTTTACTTTACTTTTCCCAGTACCCTTAGAAATTTTAAACTCGCCGCTAATAATTTTTTCTCTTATGACACTATTCAAGGTGTATTAAACAAGGTGGTGTTGGGGCGACAGCTGAGTTTTTCGCCGTGGAGGCCATTACGTCAAAATGTGTTTGTTGTAACTCATACCAATGACAGTATGGACATCAGCGTATAATTTGTTAGTGTAATTTTTTACGTATATACGGCCAACACCACCTTGTTAAATACGCCTTGACACTATTACTCAAACTACTACTAAAACTAACGTTTGTAGCAGGTGGATCGTTGGTAAATGACTGCAAACATTAATGCATTAAAATGATAGAAGCGAAATATGTATTTAATATTAATATTTACGTTGTCAAGCTCCATTATGCAAATTTATTAATTGTGCGCATGCGTTGCCAGTCAAGTCGCAAACGACCAAATACGGCGAGGAATTTCGAATACACAAGCACCACAAGCACTTTCGATTACTGCAAGCAAGCGTGTAATATTTTCTGTACTCGTTGGCGTAGCGTCGTGTGCCTGTATTGCGCGATCGTGGCAAGTAGTGTACACAATTTGGCTCAACAGAAGAAGTATCACTAGCATTTGCACTTGCGATGAAGAGTAATGGCTTTGCGCGGAGAGATATAAGCATTCTACTTGGGAGTAGAGTACAAAGCAAAGAGTGCTTTCAGGCGTAGAAGAGACAAATGTAATTCTGCAACCCTTTAGTAGCTACCGATTCAGCAGTCCTGTAGTCGCTCCCCCGTACTGCAGGGTAATAGTAGAATGTGTTGAGCACACATGTGTAATACAGATACAAGGTAACATATCAAGAGTATGAGGCATGCTTGAAACCCGCATTAGGTCGTGGGTCGAGGCCACACGTTGCTCCCAGATAATAATAGTATCATAAGTATAATAAAGTAGACACAGGATTAGCCAGCCTTTAGAATCCATTTTACGAACTCACTCCATGTATCTGGCAAGATCGGCGGGTTCGAGCCTGTAGCGGCAGCCTGTTGTGTTGAAAGCCGCATAAAACCCTATCAAACACCTTCAAACCTTAACGTACGTATCTGTCCCATTGTGAATTGTTTGATCAAAGCTTGAATGTGTGTGTGTGTGTTTCAACAAATATGTTCATGTCCGGGATGCAGAGGAATGTGTGCGTAAGCTTGTATTGATTGAGTGAAAGTATTTTGAAGGTAATTTCCTGGGGCTACAAGCGCACCGAGGGCATGATTAGAAAGCCAACCAGGAGCAAAGATCAGATGGATGTGTGCTCTTAAAGCAGTTAGAAGTGTGGTGCGCGAGTTTTGATCGTCCACAAATTATTAGTTAATAGTAAATTTTTAACTTAAACTGAGGCAAAGGATATAGCCCGTTCAAACGGTGAACCGAATTTGCGGACATACGAGGAATCCCGTTTGGGAAACCGGTCCAGAAGAGGTGTGTCAACGCAAATCAAAGCCCCGTTGAATAAGTGGTGAAATGTTTAATTATAAATAATTTTAACAAGAAATTAAAATAAAATAAAAATTTTAAATGGTTCAAAATTGCATAAGCGTACCGAATATACGAGACTGAATGTTAAAAACTAGGAGAAAACAAAGTCAAGTTAATTCTAAATGCGCTTAAAGTAAATTTAAACTATACCGAACTGCAGAAAGGCGGCGAGGGTGNTATACGAGACTGAATGTTAAAAACTAGGAGAAAACAAAGTCAAGTTAATTGTAAATGCGCTTAAAGTAAATTTAAACTATACCGAACTGCAGAAAGGCGGCGAGGGTCCTTAATTGAATTAAATAAAAGCTAACAATTAAATAAAACAAAAGTAAAATTTTTTTAAACATTTAAATAAAACTAAAAGTAAATAAAACTCAGAATCCGTTAAAAAAATAATAATAATTAATTAATTAATTAAAATTAAATTCAACGACATAATAAGTAGATACAAGCTAAACAAAAAAAGCTAAAAATTAAAATAAAACAAAAGTAAAATTAAATTAAACATTTAAATAAAATAAAATTGTGCTAAATTAAAATAAAATTAATTTAAATTTAAATTGAATAAAACTAAAATTAAATCAAACTCAGAATCCGTTTGAAAAAATTATAATAATTAATTAAAAATGAAGTCCAATGACATAATAAGTAAAGAAAAGAATATCAAGAGTTGTGTTTGTTTGTATATGTTCGTTTCGAACGCAAATCAAACCTATCTCAGCAGGGAAACCGCGGACTAGTGAATCAAATTTCTACTTCCGTATTAGACCTTCATCGCTAAAAACGAACTAGTCCGATAGTAAATAGATCCCCCCAGTCCAAAATCTGCCAAAAGTGGTATTTTTAAAGTGACGAATTTAGAACTGGTTCAGAACTATAGAAAAAGGAATGCAGAACGAGCTATGTCTTATCTCTCGAATTTAGCACTAGTTCCGAACTATCGAAAAAGGGATGTAGCCGCAGCGCTTGTTTACATTACATAGATATGTGCTTGGCGGCTTTTTCGTTCAAGTACGCTTCTATTCTGAACTTCGCAGATGCTTTTTCATAGATTGGTAATAGAAAACCAAAATTTGTGTTAACATCTTCAGATATTGGGACCGTATGGAATCTAACCAGTAACAGCGAGTACCTCTGCAAACTCAGCTGCAGCCAAAGGTTTGTAAGGCACTCCGCACATTAAACGCCTAGTCATAGTAGTGTAATCGTTCCGGCGTACTAAAGTATGAAGTTTTTATACCGAACACATGTATTTCAATGAAGCTCTGTATATTACGATTCATAATCATGTTTTCGCCTAATCATAAAAACTTCATGAATCGAAGCGCCCAACATTGTAAGGCGCTTGCCGTTTTGATATCGGCATTTGTTTACTTTTTTGTGCTCGAAATAAAAATTATTTGTCATTTCAGTAGATAACAATTGAAAATTAATGATTTTGTGCTAAAACTCGTGCCAATTGTATTAAACCATAAACGTGTACGCAATATTTTATTGCAGAAATGTTCGCGGACGCGTATTAGTGAGATAGACCGGCCAGCAAATGTGTAATGTGCGCGCAAGCAGGGCTTACGCAGGGCGCCCAAGTGTGCAGACGTCGAGTCGTCATGCATTCGTTTTGACACGACAAAACGATTACACTACTATGATTAGGCGCCTAAACGTTCATTTCTAACAATCATTCAAACAAATTTAATTTGAAATTGAAAACACATTTCTTTCAAAATAACTTAACATCGCACACATGGAATAACCAAAAATATTGAAAATTCATGATACTTTTTTCTTTCGTCTGTTGATTTTAGAACTGATTCGGAACTATAGAATTTAGGACTAGTTCGGAACTAACGAAAAAGGGATGCAGGGTCGCCATGTTAAATTGCATGCGAAAGGGATTTATCGCGAACCAGTACTGGGTCTAAATGTACTAGAGGCGCACCAAATCAGAACTAGAGACTTTCCCCACAGGGATGTACATGCACACATACAGATTTTAACCAAAGTATTATACTAAAATAAAATAACGAAATTGCTTAATTTCAAATAATATACGTACATATAAATAAACGATAACAATTGAAACAAAAAAATAAATGAGGCAATAAATATTGCAGATCCCAACCAAACAGGCCCTGGGACTCCGAAACGGCAAACTATCGACTTGCAGCCTTTGTTAAGCGAGCTTCGCAGTAAAGCTCGGAAAACTTTGACGACAGCAAGCGACAAGCAGCATCTGTCAAATATTAAATACACACGTTCTTACGAACACAATTATTTTGACGACAGCACCACATCTTGGCTGCAGGACTGCAATTGTCGACGTCGCCAAATTAAATCTATTTCTAATTTTGTCGGCGACAATGAGTAGATGTAGTGCTGCCACTAAAACATGCAATTTAAAAATTTTCTAGGCTTTAACAAGTCTAACGTTATTTAACTAAGAAAAAGGATAAAATAACTTTTATATTTTTAATGTAATAACAATCAACAATTTTAAACTAATTAAGCTACTTTGATCTCTTTTTTGTACAAAAAATTTCACTAAGGGCAAGATATTTTAATATTATAGAAGTGAAATGTTTAAATGTGGCAACAACGAAATTATGTACTTCCATACCGAAAAGCTGTTGTGCTAAAATAAAATCGAATTCTTTTGCTTATGCTGCACATTATTTATATTTGGTAAGATTTTCGCCATTAATTGTAATATTAGTATTTTGTTAACCCTAGAATACTATCCTTATTTTTTATTCCTTTAATACTAACGTTCGCCTGTGAGGCTACTTTAAAAAAAAAAGTACAAAGTTTGCCTTTTTAAAAACTTAAATTTATTTAAAAAATTAGCTTAAACATATTTTATATGCTTCTAAAGTAAAAAATAAAAATAAATTAATTTAATATTTTCAAAATTAATAAAAATAATTCGTATTGAAAAATAACACATATTTTATCATCCTTTTGAGAAGGGTAATTTAAAAAAATAACGAAAAAATATTTTAAAGCGAACGAACTCCAACATTCCATAAATTATCTTGCAAGTATTTACTTTCACACTTAAAAGAAATTTATTGTTTATCTTTTCTATTGTAACTTGTACCTACAAATCACATTGAGCCTTATGAATAAAAAATAAGCAATTGATTTTTCATAAAATATCAGGCCTTTTACTTTAATTTATTTGAATAAATCAAGGAAAAGGTTTGAAATCTCAAGAAAAAGTAACTACTTAGTTTTTTATTGTCCTCACTATCGCTTCCATTCAATGATATTTCTTCCAACCATTTTAGGACTTGTTCTTCATAGGTACCCCTCTCGAAAAGTAAAAAAAATATTAAGTTCAAAACATAAAATAGCCAACAATCATGTTAAAAACTTAAATAGGTACAGCAAACAAAATTACCTTTACTACAAAAGTTCGCCTGTCAGGCGACAAGAGGGCGTGGAACTCAGCCGCACAAGGTCACTGTACAATGTGCGTCTGCTAACAACCTCGTACAACACTAAACTGAGTTGGCGTAAACGCTTACTTTGATCATAAAAAGCGTTTCTGAAATATCACGAGAAAACCGAATTCGTTCCGCCTCACCGGCGAATGTTAGTATTCTAGGGTTAACAATTGCCATTATATTTCCAGGTATAACAATGGACTTGGATGAAATTTTAATAGAAGAAGTACGCAATCATCCACTGCTGTACGACCTTGCCCACATGGAGTACAAAAATTTGAGAAGAAAGGATTATGCATGGAAGGAGGTTGCAGCTAATACAAAGTTGAGCGGTAGGTTAAACTATAAAAATAATTAATGAAATTCTGAAGCTCAATTGGTTAATAGAACTGGAGTGCAAGAAACGATGGAAGAGCCTCCGCGACTCCTATAAGCGCTGCAAAAGGATGGATCAACTCGCTTCCGGCAGTAGTGCTGAAACTCCAAGGGAAAAATGGAGACACTGCGAATCTCTACCATTTTTCGAAAATATATCAAATTCCCGGCGGTTAGTTATATTAAATAAGCACGCAGATATACTGCAGATCTAGGGTACATTTTAATTATGTCTACAACGATTTTGGGTTGCTGTACCCAAACGCGTGACCCGAATCGAAAAACTTTTATAGATACTTCTAGACAAGCGTCTACACTTTATTTAAAAATAATAATTTACTAGATCTCTGCACTAATTTTTTAATAATTTTGGTTTGAATTATGGTACTTTTTGCGAAATATGCCGAAGGTGTTCTCTGCAAAAGTTATTCAACCCCTCTTCTTCGGCAACACAGAAAGGAGAATTCTACTTAGTGAGGGTTATATTTTTTTGTTGGAAAACTTTCCTTTTCCTTTGCAAAAAATCCCAATTTCCCCTATTTTCAAACAGCTTCCAAGGGGGCCTCCCCCCCAAAATCGTTGTACAAATAACTAAAAATTTCACCACATTTATTTTAAATTGTATTTTTCAGCACTATTGGAAGTATAAGCGCAGATGATACTCAATTTATCGAAGAAAGTGAAGTGATGGAAATTGTTGATGTCAATTCAGCAAACAATTCTCAACCTGCAATAGAAAGACCTCAACGTTAGGTTTTAAATCCACATGAGCAAAAGGTATAAATGCATGATTCTTGATTTTCTATTTGATTTGATTGATATTTCCTCTTTGATCTACTTAAATTTAATGGGCTATAAAACTGCGTATCTAAAATTTTTCTAAAAATTGTGAATACAAAGTGTATCATTCTTAGGTGTGATTGTTAAAGTTGGTTGAATTTTTATAGTTTTTATACGAAGTTTGAAATGTGAATTTATATGGAGCTGGTTATGTAAGCTATTAGAACTTTATAAAAAAAATTATTAACATTAAATAAACAAAAGATAAATAGCCAAAACTGGTCAAAATGTCACTTTACTTAATCAGCTGACCACAAAGGTATATACATACATAAGTGTGTACATGAAGTGCCTTATTATTAATAAGTGAATGTGATATAACACTTGTAAAGATTGAAATGCCTTATAAGACTTACGTATACATATGTATATGCACGCTAGACCGGTTCAAAAAAAAAATGTTTTCTTTTTTCCATGATATTAGTAGAGAAATGAGTTGCTCTACATGTCCAAAGACATTTTTCCAAAGGCTACCCCCAATATCTTTAATATCGGTTTAGCGAATCGTATTTGAACGTCAAAATTTTTTGATTGTCGTGTTAGAACTTAAAATGTGTATAATTGAAAGCTATTTCGGGCTATTTCGAAAATATCACCAGGTTTAAAGGGGTAGTTTTTACCCAGAAACTCAAATATGTTGATATTTTTATCTTACCAAGCAATCGTGATTAATAATAAATAGAATCTGCAACTCAATATTGAAAAAATCATGAATATCAATTCTCAAATTGTCCAACTATTCCCAAAAATTTTCCAATATTCTCAAAACTATGTACATCCTATTCAATTTTTCCGGCTTTTCAATGCCATCAACGGAATTTCGTTATATTTTTTTAAAATCGAGTTATTACCGATTTTTCTAAAACGCAGCGCAAACACACATATAGCAGACCGGCTAAAAAAAAAATGTTTTCTCCTTTTCATGATATTACCCTGTAGGGAAAATACGAACTAGTGAACCAGATTTCTAGTTCAGTACTAGTTCTTTATTGCCAAAAACGAACCAGTCCGATAGTAACTAGTTCCGCACCAGTCCAAAAGCAGTGAAATGTGGTACTTTCACTAAACTATCCTATTTTAAATTTTAGAAGCAGGGAAGGTAATCATTATGAGTAAAATAATTTAAATCAGCATTTAATCATTATTTTATGAATTATTATTGAGTTTTATTTTTTCGCTCAAACGGAAATAATTATTATTTGATTTTTATTTTTGGGATTACAAATAATGATTATTTTATGATTTTTATTTTTTCGCGCAGAGATTATCATTAATTTTGAGTTTTATTTTTCCACTTAAAAATAATGATAATTTATAAAATTGAAAAGGCCATACAGACGCAACCTACTGAAATTTTGACATGAAAAGTTTGGGTCTTATTCCTCTTATAAGGGTGCGCCTACCTCTCAAAAGGATACGTCGGTAATCACGCTGGTATAGTTTTTGAGTTGGTTAATAATCATTATACTTAGTGATTCCATAAACAAAGGCCAAGATCCTGAAGGACAATTGAGAAAGGCAATGCAGTTGCAGAAAAAGAGGCATTTAAAAAAAAAATTGTCAAAATAATTATCACTTTCTTACTAAATTTATTTAAAAATGCAAGCCACCAGAGCTACATTTTTTTTAAGAAAAGACAAATTAATTTTTTTTTATGCAATCCAGCACAGCTACCTTAATACAGTCAGTCAATAAAGTTAAGGTAAAACGAATTTTTTACAATAAGGGCAACTATTTTTTAAATATTTTAGTTTTCGGTATTTTTTATAAAAATATGGTCAATTCTACAACAAAATCCCCAAAAATCAGAGTTCCAAACCTTGTGCAAAATTCAAGAAAATTCTGCAAAATTTCATTAAAATAATTCACTTTCTATTTACGCTCTCTAGAAAAAGTTTTTTAGTCCATTCAATTTTAGTATAATGAAGTGCAAGTGTGAGGAAGCTAGGACTTACCAAGCAACAAAAAAAAATTGCTAAATATCAATGGTAAGTCCCAGCTACCTCAAACTTGTTCTTTGTTATACTAAAATTGAATGGGCTAATAACTGAGTACTTAACTTTTTTCTAAAGAGTGTAAAATGCAATACTTGGATGGAAATTCGCAGTTTTCTTTAATTTTGCATAAGGTTTGGAACTCTGATTTTGCGGTTTTTGGTGTAGAATTAACCATATTTTTATAAAAAATTAGGGGAAAATAAAATATTTAAAAAATAGTTGCCGGTATTGTAAAAAATTCACTGTACCTAAACTTTATTGACTGACTGTATATCTTATTAAAGTTAAGTACGACAAAACGAATATCTTCTATACTAAAAGAAGATTAAAACCATAGCTAATTTACAGTAACAATGAACTAATTTTTACTTTGAACGCACTTTGTTTACTTAAGCCGAACATTGAGACTGAATTACTAGACAGCGAATCAATGTGAAAGTGCGAAGAGTCTACATTTAAAGACTCAGACTCATATGAAGTTTCATGGTAATTATTACAATGTGTTTTTATTTAAGTATAAAAATGACAATCAATTATTAATTAGAACTATTTGCAGCATACACTATCATTTCGCCGCTGAATTTAATTTGCGACGTATTGCATCCTGAATGCGTGCTGTGTAAATAAGCCGTAGAACTGGTATATTGCGAGCCTGTGTTGCTGTGTCAGTTTCGAGCTTACTACTTTACTTTAATACTACTACTGCTACTAATGTGGTTTATAAATTTATAATAAATGCGTTTAAACATTTGCGATTGTATTGTCCTTCCTTCAACCGATCGTATTTAATATAGAAGGGAAATGTTTCGACAAGCCTGATTAGAAATGTAGATCTAAGGTGACGAATTTATAACAGGTTGGGAAGTATAAAAAATGGATGCAGATCGAACTAGATCTCATCTGTCGAATTAGGAACTGGTTTGGAACTAAAGAAAAGGGGATGCAGAACGAACTAGATCTCATCTGTCGAATTTGGAACTGGTTCGGAACTATAGAAAAAGGGATGCAAAACGAACTAGATCTTATCTGTCGAATTTAGAACTGGTTCGGAACTAGAGCCAAAGGGTTGCAACGGGGGACAAATGACACTTCCTAGGACATCGCAATGTTAATTTCGCCAGTCGCTAGCATGCAAAAAAGAATTAACACGTACTAGTCATGGTTCCAAACGCACTAGAACCGAACCAGTTCCGCGCTAGTTCGTTTCCCTACACGGTAGTAGAGAAATGAGTTGCTCTACATGTCCAAAGTCTTTTTTTCAACGGCACGTATCGTATCGAATCGTATTTGAATGTAAAAATTTTTTGATTATCGTCTTAGAACTCAAAATGTGTATAATTGGAAGTTATTTCGAAAAAATCGCCAGGTTTATAGGGGTACACATTTTAAGTTCTAACACGACAATCAAAAAATTTTGACATTCAAAACGATTCGCTAATCCGATATTAAAGATATTGGGGGTAGCCTTTGGAAAAATGTCTTTGGACATGTAGAGCAACTCATTTCTCTACTAATATCATGGAAAAAAAAAACTTTTTTTTTGAACCGGTCTAATGCACGCGAAGTGCTTTATTTTTTTAGTTATATACATATGTATGTATATAAGTACATACATGTGTAAACGAAGTACCTTATTTTTAAATAAAATATGAATTAAAATGAATTTTATTTCAAAAACGTTGTGAATATTTTAAAAAAGCTACTTTCGCTACCCTGTAGGGAAATGAACTAGTGCGGAACTGGTTCGGTTCTAGTGCGTTTGGAACCATGACTAGTACGCGTTAATTCTCTTTTGCATGCTAGCGACTGGCGAAATTAACATTGCGATGTCCTAGGAAGTGTCAATTGTCCCCTGTTGCATCCCTTTAGCTCTAGTTCCGAACCAGTTCTAAATTCGGCAGATGAGATCTAGTTCGTTCTGCACCCCTTTTGCTATAGTTCCGAACCAGTTCCAAATTCGATACATGTGATCTAGTTTTTGTCATAACGACTTTCTGCTCTGCCAAAATTGTTCTCCAAATTGCTAACGGAGCATTATTCGTAATCGAAAAAATAAAAATCAAATAGTAATTATTTCCGTTTGAGCGAAAAAATAAAACTCAATAATAATTCATAAAATAATGATTAAATGCTGATTTAAGTTATTTTACTCATAATGATTAGCGTACCTGCTTTTAAAATTTAAAATAAAATAGTTTAGTGAAAGTATCACATTTCGCTTCTTTTGGGCTGGTGCTGAACTAGTTACTATCGGCTGGTTCGTTTTTGGCGATAAAGAACTAGTACTGAACTAGAAATTTGGTTCACTAGTTCGTGTTTTCCCTACAGGGTAAGTTTTGGTCGTCGATGTATGTATGTAATTCAAGTGCCTTTTCATACCTTTCAATAATCTTTTGGAACCGGAAGAATCGAACCACTGTAAGATATAGCTCCCATACAACTGATTGTTCAGATATGAGATTTTTCGTTATAACTTCTACATTTATGCAGCTAGGAACATGATATTTTGCAATACTTCTACTCATTATCAATAGAAAACTTAGAGTGAAAATTACAAAGATTGCGTCACTATAACCTATAGCTCCCATACAACTGATTGTTCAGATATAAGATTTTTCGTTATAACTCCTCCATTTAAGTAGCTATAAACATGAAATTTTGCACTGTTGCCACTAATTATCAAAATAATACTTTCAGTGAAAATGGCGAAGAGAGGCTCGCTATAACCTATAGCCTCCATACAACTGATTGTTCAGATATGAGATTTTTTGCCATAACTTCTCCATTTATGCAGCTAGGAACATGAAATTTTGCAATACTTCCACCCATTATCAACAAAATACTTACAGTGAAAATAACAAAAATCGGGCCACTTTTACATATAGCTCCCATACAACTGATTGTTCAGATATGCGA